TGACACAGTTGATTGATGCAGTATTAAAACATGGCTGAAGCAAGCAGATGCTACAAAACTAGAACACATAAAGCAGATGATCCTTTTTTCTCGGAAAGTGTGCTTCATTTATTAACCTTTTATTTTTCAAACTAACAACAAAACACAATATATTCTCATGCCAGATTAAATTCACAACGTTAACTACAACTTCATGAACAATTTGTGCGTTCTTGATGCAGTAATTAGTGTTACATTAGCTGCTGAATGGAAAACCTCACTTTTTGCGCTATTTTGCAATGCTCTTTATGTTGACGTAGGAATGTGACATTCATTGTACACACATGGAGTAAAAACTCGCAATTTTATTTCATAATCTGAGAGATCATTCGTGTAGGCACACCAAATTTTTGTAGACGTTTCAGTCGAACACTAATTAGTCGCTATTATTAGCCCATTATATAACCTTGTTTTCACTGCACTATATAATGTGTTTTTCTCGGCTGTGTGTGCCAATGCACCTTTAAAAGCACGTGTACTACACAGATCAGAAACTCATGATTTTATTTCTTTTAAGGAATTAACTACCATCTGCAAGACAATAATTACCATCATTTGTAGGATTTATTCTTTCCTTTTCCTTTGAGTATCCGAATCTAAACTTGGAGTGATTTTCAAACAACGGTGTCTCGTCCCCTTCATGCATTCAGAAGCCACAATTAATGACTAAAACGCCTTCCCCCATCCGATTTCTGGCTCCGCCCCGGCTGTAGCACATTGTAACTAAAAAGTAATTACCAACGTCATTGCAATGTATCAAAATGTATTTTATTTTACAAAATGACTTTCATGCAGTGAATGGAACGGCCGCAGGTATCACAGGTACTGTGTATACACACCGTACTTAAACATCCGCCATTGAACTCCATGTATTTACATGTATAACCCTGCTACACACTCCTAGCCTCTTTGTAGCAGACACGTCGTTCGCCAAACTTGTTTTTGCTTTGCTAAAATTCAACACTCGACACCAGCTTTAGGCGCATTATGCTTGTGCAGCAACCTATGGCAAGCTTGTGATGTTGATCTTTTCTTATGGTCATTTGCATAATAAGTGCGTTGGAATTTCATAACGGTGCGTTATCAAAGCCTCAAATTCAAGGCAACAGGCAGAGCTCTAGTTCATAGCTATACAGCAGTGGCTTGCAAGGACCTGTTTAAACCCTATGGACCAATATTTTGTGTTTTTCTTGATCAATTTCGTTACTTCCCTGTCATAAAGTCTGAATCAAAGTCTGAGTATACCAAGTGCAAGTCTGTGTGCCCTATATCTGAGTCTCAGTCTGAGTAGGAGGTTGAGTTTTGATGGAGAGAAAAATATAAATAGATGTCATGTGATTTGGCTTGTATTATGAACTCATGTACAGACCCGAATGTGGTATCCTGATGTTATCATCTCAAAATCCATTAATTTACATCGTTAGCCCAAGAGAAAATGTTGCAGCCTTTTTTGACTAAATGTTCCATACAATTTGGGAAATCGGTTATATTTTGGTATGTCAATAGTAAACCAGGCAATTTGTGCACAAACCTTTGGGACTGTGAAAAAGTTAAACTTTTCATGTGATTCCTCCTCATTGCATAAAGAATTGATCGAGCGATTATCTTGTCTTCATGTTCGTAGATTATTGCATGTGTATAAATAGCCGTTAATGTTACGCCCAAACTTGACCATGCATGCTCCCAACATTGTCTGGGACCGTCCAAACCATGTGTTCCAGTCCAGTTGAGACACTTGTTGGGCCCATATGGCCGTGAGTGCCGAAAACATAAAAAACTAAAGTTAGCCCAGCTTGACTCACTCTTAATAGCTGACAAAATTCTCCAAACATTTTACGAGGCAAATGCAAGGTCCTCAGTGTTTCACCATTCAAGTTTGAGGTCTCAATTTAATGTATTAAATGACACTTTTCTTCAAAAGTTTGCACCTGAAAAGCAAAATGATTAGATTTGAAACCTAAGACTAGACTGGTACACGTCCTACTGTTTGAAAAGACTGACCCCATCAGTGGTCTGGTGGCATGACTGATGGAGGAAATGTGCCACAGAGATTAGGAACTACACGTTCATGTTTATTTTGACACAGTTTATTGATGCCAAATTAAAACCTGTCCGAAGTAAGAAGAATTGACAAATCTAGAACATTTACGGCAAAAGACGATCTTTTATTTTCTCTCGGAAAGTATGCTTCATTTATTTAACCGTATTTTTCAAGTTTAACAACAGAACACAATACTTTTTCCATGCCAGATTAAAACTCACAACGGTAGCCACAGCTTTATAAACAATTATTGTGTTGTTGATGCAGTAATTAGTGCTACCATAGAAAGAATTCCATACAAGGCCACCACAAATCTGGTAAAGACACACTATTTTAGGAGTGCAAAAATTCTTTAATAATACTATAACCTTTTCTCTCATGGCCCATAGACTTTGTGCAGGAGGTCTGAATGCCGGCCTTGTATGGAATTCTTTCCGCTACCATAAGCTGCTGAATGGAAATCCTCACTTTTCGCACTATTTTGCAACACATTTAGAGATATTGACATGGGAATGTGACATTCAGTGTACACACACATGGAGTCAAAACTCACAAGTTTAGTGCACTCTTTCAAAAAATGTAGACGCCACAATTAATGACTAAAACGTCTGCCCTAACCCGATTTCTGGCTCCGCCCCTGCTGTAGCACATTGTAACTAAAAAGTAATTAACAGCGTCATTGCAATGTATCAAAATGTATTTTATTTTACAAAATGGCGTCCATGCAGTGAATGGAACGGACGCAGGTATCACAGGTTCTGTGTATACCACCGTACTTAAACATCCGCCATTGAACTCCATGTATGTACATGTTTAACCCTGCTACCCACTCCTAGTGCCTTTGTTGCAGACACGTCGTTCGCCAAACTTGTTTTGCTTTGCTAAAATACAATATCCGACACCGGCTATAGGCGCATGCTTGTGCAGCAACCTATGGCAAGCTTGTGACGTTGATCTTTTCTTAAGGCAATTTGCATAATAACATAATAACATAATACATTTGCATAAATACGTTTGTATTCCATAAAGGTGCTTTATCAAAGCCCCAAACCGAAGGCCACAGGCAGAGTTCTAGTTCATAGCTTTACAGCAGGTGGCTTGCAAGGATCCCATTTAAACCGTATGAACCAATATTTCCTTCTGTTTTCTTGATTAATTAAAATCAACTTCGTTGAGTCCCAGTCCTAATGTCTTTGTCGAAGTCCAAACATACCAAGGACGAGTCTGTGTGTCCTATATCCGAGTCTCAATCTAAATAGGAGGTTGAATTTTGATTGAGAAAAAAAAAGTATATTGATGTGATGTGATTTGCCATGCGCATGCCTGTATCGAGACGTTATATACAGACCCGAATGTTGTATCCAGAATCCAGATGCTATCATCTCAGACTCCATTGACTAATATTGAGAGCCCCATGGAAAATGTTGGAGCCATGTTTATCGAGAAATTGCTCCATTTAGTGGGAAATCTTTTTTCTTCTTTTTTAGGTGTTGGGCCTTGAGCCCAACACCTATTGTTATTGTAAGAATTTACTATTTTTGTTCTCCTCAGCAAATTCTCAGCAAATTCTTCTCCAGAACTGTTTTTCAAAATGAAAACATATATGCACTTCAATTGTCAATACATGAATTCACAACCCACTGAAGATGTGCTTTTTTGCAATTACGTCATCAGGACGTCATCATGGGTCACGTGACGTCACTTCAAAAATTAATAAATTTAATCTCTGAAATTCAATATAAAATCAACCGTGAGAGACCGGAACTTGAATTTTTCGGGAATTGACATGATAATATATGATCTTCATTTTATCTTGTGCGCGTCAAATCACGTGACCCTTCCTTCCGGTCGAAACCGGAAGTGCCTTATAATTTAAAAGTGGAAAAAGATGTGAACTTGCTTTCAACGATGTTAGTCTGTGGGTGGGTTGACCTTTCAAAAAATATGATCGGTGACGCCATGAAGTTTTCGAGCGCCCTCTAGCGGCAGGTTAAAAAACGTCAAAAACGCATTTTCACCTGATTTATGTGGATAGGTTTGCGGTAATCGCTTCAAAATTAATGTACATGATGACCTTAATGCAGACAAGACCTATGCGCGAAAAATTGATTACGTCATCGGATCCGAAGTTACAATAAAAAGACCTTGAAACCTTAAATAATTGCTAAAAAAATCAACTGTGATAGATATAACCAAGATTTGGCTATATATAGCACAGTTGAAATAGCTCTGGAACTTTCTGGTAATAACGTCACAATGACGTGATCAAGTATCATATTACAAGCAATCAAAGATTTCTAGATTTAATCTTTGAAAATCAATATAAAATCAACTGCTACAGATTTAATTGTGTTTTTTTTTTATGGCAATCGATACAATATTGCAGGGTCTTCATTTTTGGTATTAAGTGCAAAATCACTTGACCCTTCCTTCCGGTCGAAACCGGAAGTGCCTTATTATTTGAAATTGGCAGAAGATGCGAACTTGCTTTCAACGATGTGAGTGTCTGCCTATAGGCAGTACTGTAAAAAAAAAAGTGACGTCATCAAATGTTAGAGCACCCTCTGGCGGCATGTTGAAAAATCAAACATGGATTTAAACATGCATATACATGTATTGAGTTGATGTGTGTGGCATGACGTGAACACTCCTCCGAGTAAGACCAACCCGAACAACTATGTAAGCAACTTGGGTAGGGAGACATCATTTGGGGGAGCCTGCCCTAGGGGATTAAGATATTTATAAGCACTTATTCTATAATTGGTTCCTAAAAGGAGCGAAGGTCACTCTGCCTGAGAGATTTCAAGCATAATATTTGGTTGCTAAATTTAATCTGTCGGCCAACAAATTGCATTATCATAATGACGTACCTAAAATGTTAACTTGTTTTATATGTTGAAATGTGAAAAATCGTGAATAAATGGCTGAGAACGATCTGTTACTGTTATGCTAGCATAAAACCGCAATTCACCAGATAGTATAGTTCCAGAAATCAGTGTGGCTAACAGGTGATATTTCATTTAACCACAAGTCATTATCTCGCCGGGACTGTGGAGCAGGGAGGGGAGTTTGGTTTACTTAAGGGCTCCCCAGGGGCTTTCAACAGTGTGAAACTAGCCACTTTCTTAAGAGAGCCGGTTTCGTCATGCAAGGTTTGCGGTAATCCATGGCCCAACACCGTGTGGTTGTTCCTACAACCTCTAGTTTGTTTTTGGTTTTTTTGTTTTCCAAGTGATGCAAAAAGGGGAGGTACGAAGGTTTTTTTGTATTTCTCACGACCTCTGCTTTATAGCAAACGATCATTTAGATATTTTGGCTTTTTCATCAGATCAGTTGCAATGAAGGCTTTTACATGTCTTGCGCTTCTGTTGTGCGTGGGCTGCGTCTTCGCCACTGAAGGTGAGTTATACACTTACAACTTGATCCAGTTCGGCCGGTTCGTTTGGTGTTTGGGGGATCTGGGCATTTTCGAAGCGACGGCGGACAACGGCTATGGCTGTTACTGCGGTCTTGGAGGCCAAAGCACACCGCTGGATGACACTGACAGGTCAGTCGCCAAAAATTATCACTTCCACATTAGTCTAACAATTACATTTCTCCGTCCCAACAAACTTAACGGATTCCAAGTCACAGTTTTAAATCAGACTATCCATTACAGACCGGCTCGCTAATAAATTCAACTTTATATGCGTGCATGCGTAAATGCAGGGGTGAGGAAAAAACATTAAGTATGCGCATAACTTGGATTATATAACGAACTGGTCTATTATTGAACACTTTTGTTTAATAAAGAAAGCCCTCAGTGCTATTTCGATTGCAAACGACAAAGCGCCAATACATGGGGACAATGTAAATTGTCCTGATGATAGGCTCTGTTAGCAGTCTTATATGCAAGATAGTTTACCAAGGTCAGCACTGCTACGGACACGCAATATGATTCAGGATTCCGCAATGTATTTAGAGTATACAGATCACAGGTATGTGTATCGCAACGCTTGTCCACATTACTGAAGACACAAAGGTCAAAACGCAGTCTTGTTGTGCATGATTAATCGCCAAATCTGCTCGCATAATAATAGACCCTTGCAGTGCAAGGGGATGGTATTCCATATTCCATAGACTAAATTTAGGGTATACGATGTCTCGAAGTTCAAGTTGCAATGTGTTTCTTCGTCAGATGCTGTGTAGAACACGATAACTGTTACAAAAGAGCTGTAACGAAAGACATCTGCAGGGTCTGGGATACCTATGCAGTTTGGTACAAATTTGAGGAAAACACTGACGCGTCTGGAAAGTGCTCAATCAAATGCAGTAAGTCATCCCCCCGTAGAATATTTCGTCGCTCCCAGAGAGCCAACCTAGGTGCCCGTGTACATGTTTCACTAACTGACTATCACTCGTGCTAAGATTGATTGTTGACTGGTAAAAAAAGTCGAGCAGTGCTATCGTATAGGACGTATTCTTGATATCACAACTTTGTAACATTGTTGTGCAAATATCAACGAGCTCACAAGCCTATTAAGAAAAGAATTTTGAAGAAATGATGTTGTGTTCGTGAGATATGGTGATAATATTCAAAACTTCAAAAATCTATATAAAATCACACGATGACGTTACTGTATCTTCATGTTAATTTTCGTCTTTAACACCCCCCGTCTATTTACGTAGAAAAGTTGCAACGTAATCGCACTTGTGATTCTCTAGGTATACGACTGTAAACATTGCACCTTTCAGATGACGTCACATGACCAATGATGACAGCACTTGTCACTTACTGCACACATTAACAACAGTGGCGGTTCTACGGGGAGGCTAGGGGGGCTTTTTTTCTGGACAATCGAGTCTACCCTGAATATGTGGTCAGAAGAAGATCATCATGTTTATTTTCGTTTCTCTTTCCCCCTTTTTTGACAGAGGCAGAGGATGAGTATTCTTCGTTGATCACTAAAGCCAAATGTCGAGCCTTCATGTGTGAATGTGACCGTCAAGGGGCGCAGTGTTTCGCGGACAAGCGGCCCACGTTCAACAATAGCTGCTAAATGCATACGTCACAAAATCCTGAGGATGTGCTAAAACATATCCATTTTAATCATTATTCGATTGATCTGACATTATTATCAAGAAAACTTGTTGCTTTATTAAGCGATTTCGCAGCATAACCTATCGACCTAGTCTGAATGTTAATTTATAAACGATTTAAAAAAAAACAGTTTTCAGAAGTTTGATTAAGCAATAAAACTTCATACACACAATTGTAGAAGATACTGACGACGGCGGCTTATGCTACAATAAGATTTTGTCACAAACTCACACGGCGGGTGATGACTTCGTTTAATCTGTAACAATAAATATGTAAAACAATACGAACATTACGATAAGTTCTAATTAAAGGGAAAATACAACATTTGCAAACATCAAAAAATAAAACTACCAAATCATTTTGAAATACCTTGCTGGACTGTTAGTGAATGACAGTGTAAAGCATCCTGTAAAATCATGGCACCTGGTATACTGTCATTTTCAAGAAAAGTGGTATTTTTGTATCAATTTCCAACGCTGATCGGCCGATCAGCGTTGGAAAAAACTGGCTTTTTTTCAAATACTGGCCCCAATTGACCATCGCACTTGTTTGCAATCGATTACAAACCTATGAACGGGTACGAGCCAGCTAGACTGGTTCCCTGACCTTACAATACCCCAATGTATGTAAACTGCTCTGTTTCTTCTTATATGGAGTCAGGGAACCAGACTACAGGAAAATGATTGTTTTTCTTGGTATTTATAGCATTTTCGAACCCAAAACCTCAAAAAAGTCAGTGTAACTATATTTGCTATATATTTCCAACCCCCCAATTCCTTCCATTTCTGAAAATTACAGCAAAAGCAAATGATGTATATTCCCTTTAAGCTACAATATTTATATAATATTTTGGTCATAAACATCCATGCACGGTTTGTAAATGAACAAATCAATAAATAGAATTTCAATTAACTTACGACTTTGTTGACATTTGTTACACACTTCTATTTGATCGATGCTTATTTTCACAAACATGTTAAAATAATGAAGAAACCATATAGATATAGAATTAAAAAAACTTAGATAACCGACATACAGATCCTTGTCAATTGATTGGTGGAACTCACATCACGTAACATTCGTTATTGCTCCCATTCACGTCGCGGCTCAAAGTACTATCCGCCCATGGGGAATGGGAAATACTATTCAACAGTTAGGATCATGACGCGGTATTTGTGTGCAAATGAATGAAGAATGCTCCATGGATCACCGAGGGAGGCTAGTTTTACTTCACCCCGAGATAAAGCATTCAATATTTGTTTTATTACACTTCACCCACAGATTCTGCTTGGTTTTAAGATTTTAAATTATTTAAATCTGAACACAGTTGAAATAGACTTCAATTTCAATACAAAATTGGTGGAAAATGTATTTCTCTCTTCCAAACTACCCCTTCACGAAATGTTTGAACCCAACTCTGTGGCGGGCTCTCTTTGGAACAAAACGCGCTACGCACAACGCGCAACGTTTACACCAGCATGCATTTGCACACAAATAGTACTTTGGTTGCTAAAGGTATAGTACTTTGGTTGCTATGGGCATAGTACTTTTGGCCGTGTACTAAAAGATAACAAAAAATAGAAAGTATCATGTGACTTGCTCTCGGCCAATCAAGACACAGAATCTGTGGGTAAGGTGTTATAAATTATTCTATATCTATGGAAGAAACTGTTATGAATCGAACAATAACGCTGCGCACACGCGCAAAGGCGCGCGCTGACAAACATTTTTGACATTTACAACAATAATATTCTCGGATGGTAAAAAAACCCATTATTTTCGAAGCTTTCTTATGATTCTCTTGAGCATAGTTTGTCATGGTGCTACTAAATTGTCTTGACTAATGATGCACAGTCAGCCATTTTGTTTGTAATTGCAACAAGCCGAATAATATAGCATGCGCATAGACGCAAAACCCGCACTGTGCAGACTAGTGCCTTAAAATGTTGATTTGTATCGGTAACTTTCAACGCCGCGCGTAGCCTGAGCCTCAGACCGGCCACGCCATGGTGAGCGATGAGGATGAACCGTGCACGCAGCCGCCGACGGGCGAGCATTTCGCTGCGAACACAGCGACTTCGGCAAGCTCACAAAATGGTTGACGGTGTTGAACTTGTGTGCATAAGTATTACACCTTCGGGTTCCATGGTGTGCCGGAACCCAGCTGCGGCTATCCAAAGATTGTCGATGTGGCGACGTCTATCCATGGAGGAAGGAACACAAAGTTTGTGTTCCTTCCTCCATGGTCTATTCAACCAACTCGGACCCAACTATGACCATGATCAATTCGGACCCAACTTCGAGTAGAAATAAATTGCTTTGCAAATTGCTGAAACATCGACGTGATGAGATTGAGAAATAAGCTCTTGGCTGGTGTTTCAGTGCTTAGACATATGTATTCTTCGATTGGGAATTAATTTTACAAATAGCTTATACATGTACACGCTTAAAAACGCTATAGCTTCCCAATACATGTAGCTTACGCTACGTGGACTCCTTATTTTCAATACACCCACTGAAAAAGCCTCAAACCACAAGGGCCCGCCCCATATATATGCACACACCACATGTACTGCCCGAATCGCCAAGACTGGATTTCGGTTCGACTCGTCGATAGCGCCCTCTACCGTTGATATCGTTTGGCTGTGCTAGTTCGCTCGTACCCCGCCCTGCAAACAGGGCGCTGGGAAGGGCTGATGAGCTTCACAGAATCTTGTGAAGGAAGTGGGGATGGCATTCTTGGTAACTTATCATGACCTTTATAAAGATATCCAGCTGCAGCTATGCGGTTACCTAATGCGCGCAAATGCTATCCGAAAACATTCTCAACGAAAAAAGAAGAAGACAATTCTGAATTAGAATAAAAGAGTAGTGACTCGGTCTTAACAGCCGTTGAAAACCTTCCAGGGTCGTGATCGTACGTGATGACTTGCAGGTCGCAGGTCACGCACTAATCAGAGCTGAAATTCATCAGTCCTTCCCAGCGTCCTGTTTGCAGGGCGGCGGGGGGGGGGGGGGGGGGTCGGGGGGGGGGGGGGCTAGCGAAGTGCTTGCCATGCCAGCGTGCCTTAATACACCGACTGCACGTTGACGAAAATAATCCAAATCCAGTCTGGGGCCAAGACCACACCACTTTGAGCACAGAGCCCTGCAAATTTGGTACGCAGTCAAGCGGTTCAGCTGTCTGGGTCTTTGTTAACACAAGCATTTCCCAGCTGTACTGGCCGTTATCACGCATCTCACCAAGAATTTGGCCGAGTCGTTCATCCATGTGTTTAGGATTTGTGGGTCAACAGACACTGGGTAGCAGATTGCAATCCCACTCTTGTCAGTCACACACAAATTTGCCTCAACATTCACAAGCAAATTATAAGGCACGAGTCGGCCGCCCAACTGCAAGCCACCGACGCGGGAACTCGTCATACATCAATACCGTGGTGTCTTCCTGTACGCGAAAAACGTCAATTTTGGACGCTTGGAGTCTGGCAAGTCGACCAGAGATCAGGCCTCATGTATGGGGCATTGCTACATTTCAATTACGGCGTTGCATGTTCCACCATTCCCACCAATACTGAACAACTAACTTGAACTTTGCTGTAGGCCTACAGAACTTGTCATAAAAACGTATATTGTACTGAACTGAACTGACTTCGCAAATGCGTTCCTTTGAACGCTCAGTTTGTGCTAGTGAACTAAACTAAATGCACACCTGACATTTGTGTGAATTCATAATTTTGTCGAATGATCTGAATGACGGTTTTGGAAAATACTGAAGTCAAGCTTTTGGAGTTCGTCGGGGGTAAGTCCCATTGTATTATGGAATTATCGAGGTGAGTGAAAATGTATCTTCTCCAGCCACGCAGAGCCAAAAAGACGAAAACGTTCCTTGCATATTCAATATGCTGAGAAATGGTAGTTGATATTTTCTCCTTCATTTTTAACCTCTGTTTTCGAGCCAGAAATTTCTCCTACTTGGTCTTGAAATCGTACATTTTTAACGTTGTCAATTTATCAACTTGAGCATGATGTAGTTATTGCCAACACAATAATGTCGTCCATGTGTTTGTGTACAAGAGGGTTGTGTTTTGCATTTTTTTTTACAACAAAATGTCATCCAGTTTGTTTCTCCTGCATCGTTTGTTTTTTGCATTGCTGCATATTGCACGCTGAAATGCCATTCCTGTAGGATAAAGCCCTTTAGATTTGGAGAAATTTGCATACGAATATCTGCTAACATTGTCAAAATATTACGCGTGTAACATGCCATGCCGCTTTTTGTAATGTCTTTTGTTGCGTTGCGCATTCTCCACGGTTTCAGTCGTGCAGTAGGCCGCACGTGGCCGGTGCAGCTAGGGCGTGGTCATAGACTCCGGTGATTCTTATTGGTCGAAATGGTGAAAAGGCTGCGCGCGCGTTATGCGGCCAGGTGTGTACCGTCTTTGCTAAACTTTCAAAGCATTCCATAGAGGATCTTTTAGGGATTTACTCAAAAGTTTGGGTAAACATGTTTAGATTTTCAAAACGGAGGGTTCCTTGGATTTTTTTATTGCCTTTGCCTTTATAATTGTATTAAAATGACTGCTCTAAAAGACTTAGCTAAGAGAACAACATAATAGTTTTGACCTTTTATTTAATTTGTTATTCAAACCTGAACGCCATGAAAGCGACAAGTCAACAACGGAGTCAAAAATGAATTTATTCAATGCAAGCACATCATTTAGATTATTATAGGGCGGCATTCCAATGGACCAAAAACCATTTTATGGACAATGTTCACGATCTCAAAATTGTATGAATTGCTCAAAATAATGAACCTTACACCATTAACTTCAGGGTAACTGATTAAGAGCTGATTTGATTATGATTGTATAAATTAAGATTTAAAAGACAGCTGCTGGAATTATTTGAAGCATGGGAGAAGACCTACTGTTGAGGATTAAGATGACCAGCGATGATTCGACGTTTTGAAAAAGACAAATGAGGCACAGTTATGATTGTATTAAATGAATGATTATGACTATTTAGGGTTTAGGTGAAGGATTAAGGCGGGGGTATAGGCACATGGCGCGCGTAGGCAGCCGAGCACACCACCAGCAGCGTAAGGGAGCATGATAGCGATGGTGTAAAAATTTACTTACTGAAATATTTTAACAAAACAATTACACTGTTTTAAAAATCTGACCTTTTCTAATCAAAGAGTACATAAGTCGGCGGACAAACATGAGCTGGATTCTTTAACACAAATAAATAACGCTAGTTTATTTTTTTTAAATCAACATTGGGGTACTATATTCCAGGAGTAGA